CGAAACGTCGGATTTGTCTATCGTTAGTTTTTGCCTGTATATGTTTATCTAAATCATTGTTGATTAAAATGTACTCCATTAGCGAAATTATACGTATAAACATCACATGTAGGATCTTGTTGGCAAAATACATGTATAGCCCCGGCCAAACGATCGCAACATTTCAACACAACATATCCCAACATTGTTGGCCCAGTATTTGCAAGCTCTGGCCAAACGATCGCAAATTTTGAACGCAACATATCGCAACATTGTTGGGCGCAACATGTTGCGTGCGTTTGGCCACCCTGTCGCGACGTACTGCGACATGTTGGGTATTGAAAATCGAACTGGTGCGCATGCCCGGACGCAACACTGTTGCACGAGCCTGGTCAAACGACTACAACATCATGCAACATCCCCAAATGTTGCATAAAAAATTTGACCATTTTCAAATTTGAGCTAACAACACCCAACATGTCGCAACATGTCGCAACACGACGCGACAGGGTGGCCGAACGCGCGTAACATGCGGTACCTAACAATGTTGCGATATGTTGCGTTGAAATGTTGCGATAGCGATATATAACTCGAGAGATAATGCATCAAGTTTTACCCGCAGTTATTGTAATTGTAATAGAGTGACACTGGGTGCCGTGTTTTACATTCCTTCATGTTGTTTCACTTGTCCATTGCTGATAAAATTAATATTAAATGATAACAAAAATCGAAAATGTAATTCAAATTAAACACAACTTACTGAAAATAACAAAAATCAACACCCAGCAAGAAAGTTCCCGCAAATTCCAAAAAAAAAACAAAACAAAACAAAAAACACGCCGATCCGCAAAATTAAACTCCGGCCGGCAAAAATGTCGTGCCACACGTTATACAGGCCGGGGTCTCGTAATGGATGTTAAGACGCGTTGTTCGCATGTAGTTTCTTAGTCGTCACAGCATGCTTGCACTCCTTTCACATTCGCATTTGATTGGAATGGTGCAGGCAATTTTAAGCCGGCGGCAGTAAAGGCAGCTTTACAATCCAGTCCTATATAACCACTACACTGCAGCTGGCTTCAGTTACGGTTCCATCGACAGGTATCAACCTTCAATCCCCGTCATGTTGGAATACACACCTCCGGCACCATACAATGCTGAATCAGTGGCGCAGTGAATCCGTGCTAGCTCCTTGTTCGGTGCATTTTAATTTCTCGATGACGCTGAATGGTGGGTGGGGAGAAAGGGGAGACTAGCAGGAATTTGTCGGTGATTGCAGCTCTTCATCGCGTAATACCTATAAGGCATTGTAGTATTGGAGGTGGGGGACTATGCTTCAGACAAAAAGAAAAAATGAAAACGAACCGGAAAACGGATAAAAGGCGGACAAGATCATCCTTAGAGTTTCCTGTGAATGGCAGCTCAAAACAATTCAATTTGACAGCTACTTTATAATGTTCCAAAAAAAATCACGGTCCGCGCTCGTCTGATGATTTACTGTAAATAGGGTAAAAACACAATAATCACTTTCATCATCATCATCATCATCATCATCATCATCATCATATATTTGCCACGTGAATAATAACAAAGGATATTGACAATACTCAAAAAGCGGCGAAGAGACCTCAAAAAGAAATCAGCAGGCTTACAACGGAGGCCTGGCCTTTATGACCTTTATTTACATGGTAAGAGAACAGTAACTACGTAACTTACCAGAGTTGGTAAACTAAATCAATTATTTTGTTAAGTTTTAAAAACAACAGGGCCGTGGCCAGAAAAAAAAATAATAATGACTGAGGCAATGTCCATTTTTAAATTCTCTTCCTAGGTATTTAGGGTGTTTCGATGACTGAGGCACGTGCCTCAGTTTGCCTGTTAATGGCTACGGCCCTGAACAAGAGCATAATCATTTGGCCCCGGTTGTTCGAAGGCTGGACAACGCTATCCACCGGATAAATCGCTCTCCAATGGATAAGTGTTC